GCTCTATTACTTAATGTACTAACAAGTAACTCACTCTTTGCCAACTACTTTCTGTGAGAATTTTTTCTCATAGTATGTTGTAAGGTATTAAATAGAGCTTATTTAAAATCATCAGTCTTTTACTAATTTTTTAATATGCTTCAGCTTTTTAGTGATAGTGAATTTGTCATGAAACATCTAACAATCCTGTTGTTGTTGTTATGATGATAGATGATGACGTGACATCAGGCTCTCTGAAATAAGTGGTGGCTTTTAGATTTTGAATCCATTCTTGCATTACTTCACATATACAGAGGTCAAGTAGAAATTTGGAGTTGTTAAAGGTTATAAGAAATTTAATTGTAAGTTCAGAATTTAGGGTTGTTATTCATGGAATGAATTCAAGTAAGTTTCGTCATAGTACACTCTCTGCTTATTAAAAAAAGACTTTCTGGCAGCATAGCAGGTAATGTGTAATTTAAATTATCTTGATGAACTCAGTTGGTTCTCTAGGTATGATTACTTTTAACAATGTTATACAATTAAGTAGCAATATGCAGTAGAAACAAAGGTAATATTTTCCCAGGACATTAGATTATGCAAGTACAGAACTTTTCTTCTTTGTTTGAGATTTTATATGTATGTGATAAGAATTCTTATTGTATGACACCTTATATTTCCAGTTTATCAGTTCCATTTCTGTTTTTTTTTTTTTTTTTTTTTTTTTTTTTCTGTATCTTATTTTCCTTTTTCGCTTTCTTCATCTTCTTATATGTCTTTTAACTCATGGTGGTATTAGGAATTGATGACAGAGGGAAAAACAGGCTTTTGTTTGGTACATTTATGTCAAACCAGAATGAAAACAAATTGAAATTCAATTTTATATCTAATAGAAAGAAAATGAAGGACTATTCTGTCACAAATCAAGCTCTTCTCACATTTCCATATATTGTTACTAGCGGTGATTTTAGAGTATCACAAATTTTATTGTTATGGAATGAAAAGTTGTAGAAAATGCAATTTATGAGGAGGAATGATATTTATGTTCTTTAGATAACACTAACCTACACTTCCTTTTCTATATTATTTTGAGAGTTTCATGTTTGTAAGAAATTATTAAGTAACAAAAGTTACAGATTGCTGATGCAATTAGTCCAGTCTAATCAAGATTACTCCCTCCACATTCAAACTGTTTATTTTGTTAAGCAAAAAATCAAATACAAGATACTTAATTAAGGACAGGAATTTGTAATAGTAATAGTAATCCTAATTCTTGCATGTAAGTCCCCAAACATCAGATTTCTTATGTATTTTGTGAACATTTACTGCAGCCGTTCTACAATTGAATCACTGAATCTGAAATATAGAGTGATTTGAAGTTTGTAATGGACAGCAGTGTCCTGTCAGCAAATTTACATTATAAAAAAATTGTTTGATGAATTGCACTTTGCTTTTATACATTCATTATATTTCATGATTGTTAATGAATTGTGCTTCAGAAGATGTAAATTATGTGTAGATCATAAGACTACTCTGCCATTTTGGAAGACAAAGTTAGATTACTTGTTATTTTATGTACTGAGTAAAAATTAAAGTATAAGTTATGTATATTTTTTTTCAAATAATAATACCTGTGCTTCTTTTTTATTTGTATTATTGTAATTATCATTTCTGGCTTGCTTTTCTTTT